GTCCTGTCCGTCTTGGGTGTCCCTGCACGGCATAGCCCATAGCTTCTCTGAGTTACTCAAGCCCTTCCTTGCAGCTCCTCTGGCGGGAAACTCGCGAGCAAGCGGCCATTTCCCTGGGGGGGGGGGATTTTCTTGCACACCCTGACTCTACTCTCAGTGACTCAATCTGACTTAAACTCACTTCATCTCACACTCTGACTGAAATATTGACTCAGGTTCTGCCTCTTATGGCATCTGTCTCAGCCTCTCTGCAACATTAATATTCATAAACCATTATATTACATAACATAGACCATAGATCAAATAAATAGGGAACGCTACAGACCTCCCCCCCTTAAATATGTTTGTTTGGGAGGGGAAACACCATTTTTCCTCCTAAACAGGTACAGTTGCATAACTTATATAATATTTAACAGTTCAATAGGAAAAGTCATTCAATATAACAATTTTCATTCTTATTACTTTAAACAATTTAAACAACTATCATTCCTTATACTCTAAACATTTTACTAATTTCAACAATATACTTAACCTTATCATTTATACTTTATAATTTTCATTAACATTACCAACCCTACAGAACTTACAATCAGGAAATTTTTCATAAATAATTAAACAGTGAATCAGAGTCCAGTTCAATTAGTAATAAAAGTCCTGGTATCATTCTTTTTTTTTTTTCAATTTATATGCCGCCTACACTACCAAGAGGTCTCTGGGCCTTAGTGAAAGGGCCACTGAGAATACCAGGTTTTTATTTTCTTCACATTTTAGTCCATCAATTCAGTTTTTAATCACATTTACAAATGTCCATCCCCCTTCCATCAGTCATTTGGCTTCCGAGGCAAGATTAGAGTCTCTTTCGCAAAGTCCAGGTTAGCAAAGTCCAAAACAGGCTCACTCCCATAGTCATCTGCAAGGCACCTCACCTCTCCAAGTCCAGATCTCACAGCATTCGAAAAGAAGGTGGACTCACGGTCGTAATTAGGTGCACTGAAGACTGGTCAGGATGTTACCGCCTCTATCAGCTGGACACACACCTGCTGGCACTCAGGAGTCCCTCTGTCGTCCACAGGCTCCTTCCTCTGTGTCTGGCGGTCATCGGCCACTCGATTGACCCTGGGATGTCCTCAGTTGGTTGTTTTATAGTGAAGCCTGCTCTCTTTCTGGCTCGAGGCTTCACCATCTCATTTGGGGAAAGGATAGGCAACTTCCTCTGCTCCTTCCAACCCTCTCTGGATGCGTCCTTCTTTAAGACATCAGAGCAGATGCCTTTCTCCACATCCACATATTGTCCCACAGATACTTTCACCGAAATATTTTCCTTATGTGGGGGACCACTAACATGGGTCACTTTAAGATTCTCAGGTCTGTCAGGTGCAATCTCAACTGATTGATTGGTTTTAGACGCACTGCACTTGTCATCTCTTGCTGGTTCTTTATTCAGGGACATGTCAGGTAGGGGTTTGCTTTGCAAAGTTTTATGATCTAATTGTTCTGCCTCTGCCAAAAGCAATTTTCTCCCCTCTAAAGACTGTCTCCCAATTCACTCTCTAAACGCTGGGAGGAGTGAGGAAGCAGACAGGCACCCTTTTCACTGGCCAACAGTTAACTGAAAGTTCAAATTTTGCACTTTCCCTGCCTCCCACATGGGTTTTTTTCAGTTCTTAACTAAAATCTAAGTATGTAAGTCAAGTCAATATTTTCCTATGAGAGTGGTTCTTAAGTCAGAATGTTCTTAACTCGGGCCGTTCTTAAGTCAAGACCCCACTGTACACATTTTCTTGCACACCCTGACTCAATCTGACTTAAACTCACTTCATCTCACACTCTGACTGAAATATTGACTCAGGTTCTGCCTCTTATAGCATCTGTCTCAGCTCCGCCTCTCTGCAACATTAATATTCATAAACCATTATATTACATAACATAGACCATAGATCAAATAAATAGGGAACGCTACAGACCTCCCCCCCTTAAATATGTTTGTTTGGGAGGGGAAACACCATTTTTCCTCCTAAACAGGTACAGTTGCATAACTTATATAATATTTAACAGTTCAATAGGAAAAGTCATTCAATATAACAATTTTCATTCTTATTACTTTAAACAATTTAAGCAACTATCATTCCTTATACTCTAAACATTTTACTAATTTCAACAATATACTTAACCTTATCATTTATACTTTATAATTTTCATTAACATTACCAACCTTACAGAACTTACAATCAGGACATTTTTCATAAATAATTAAACAGTGAATCAGAGTCCAGTTCAATTAGTAATAAAAGTCCTGGTATCATTCTTCACATTTTAGTCAATCAATTCAGTTTTTAATCACATTTACAAATGTCCATCCCCCTTCCATCAGTCATTTGTCTTCCGAGGCAAGATTAGAGTCTCTTTCGCAAAGTCCAGGTTAGCAAAGTCCAAAACAGGCTCACTCCCATAGTCATCTGCAAGGCACCTCACCTCTCCAAGTCCAGATCTCACAGCATTCGAAAAGAAGGTGGACTCACGGTCGTAATTAGGTGCACTGAAGACTGGTCAGGATGTTACCGCCTCTATCAGCTGGACACAGCTGCAACCCATCTCCATTTTTCTGGTCGTTGTCAGTCACAGATTTCTCTGGGTGATCAGTGGTTAGTGTTGTACCATCTGTCAAAGTACTATCTTCCCTCTGTTCCTCATTACTAGAAGGAACAGTAAGGGTGTTCAAAATACTCTCATCAGCCATTTTGGTTACCTCATGGTCCTTTTCTGAACTGGAGCATCCCTGCATAGATTCAGAGGTTAGGGAATCAACTTTTCCCTCAGGGATTGCTAACTGCTCCCTCATGGAACATGGCACCTCAAAAGCACTCCTCACATTTTTAGGTTTATCTTTTCTACAATTGTACTGTAAATGACCAGGCTTGCTGCTTTTGAAATTCCTTCTCTCATCCTTGAGAGATTTGGTAAACTTTTCCTCAGAGTTCATCTGTCAGGTGCAATCTCAACTGATTGATTGGTTTTAGACGCACTGCACTTGTCATCTCTTGCTGGTTCTTTATTCAGGGACATGTCAGGTACTGCTGAGGTAATTTTCACCAAAGGGCTGCTTAATGTTGTCCCAACTCTGCCTGTCAAAATCTACCTCAGACTGTACACGCAACTGAAAGAGCATCTGTTTAACTTCCAACTCTATTTGTCTTTTTTCTATTTCTTTTCCTCTAATTTCTAGCTCCCTTCGTTTGGTCTATCACTCAGCTGCCATCTGTCTGGCCTCTCACTCAGCTCTGATTTCTAGTTCCCTTTGTCTGATCTCATTTTGGAGTTGTAATTCATTATGTTTCAACTCCCGTTCCAGTTTCCACTTTTCAAACTCCTGCGAGCTTAATTCATTTGGTTTCTCAGAGACACCCTCATCAAATTCCTCTTGCTGTATTTCAGAAATAGGGTCACTCAGAGGGTTTCCCTCCATTTCTTGAGGTAAAACCTCAGCCTCAGGATTCCCCCTTGTGGTGTGTTTGGGTGGCATATTCACTCTGGGGTGATTACTACAGAGTGTGTACTTATCTTTAAAGGACCTGTCTTTCTTCTCCCACTTCCAGTCACTAATATAATTCTATTTTAAGCGAAGCCTTTTCCCTTCCTTCCTTCAGATCTGCTCTGACCCTTGGCTTCTGCCTTTTCACAAGCACATTCACTCCCATCGCCCCCCTCGCCTTGTATGGTGTCTAGCGTGCCTCTTTCTCTCCTGGTGCTGTAGCTTGAGGCTCCTTTGCACTCTATACTGTGGGCAGAGGCAGGAGGGAGAAAAGCTTCATTCAGGCTGGGGCGGCGGCGTCCCAGCAACGGGAGGCTGAGCCTGGCTGGGGCGCTCTGACCACTCACCTCGGCCTTGCCCTCCGCCACCGCCTCAGCTGCAGCTGGGGAGTGAGTGCCATCGGAGGAGGCTTCGAACTGCCTGGTAAGGTAAGGTGCTGCTTTTTGCTTTTAAAAAACTGTTTTGGGTGGCTTTTGCAGGGGGGGTTTGGGCTGGGGGGGGTATGTTTCTGTGCTGTGTTGTTTTGTTTTTTGGTGATTTTTTTGGAGTCCCAGTGTGGGGCTTGCTCAGATCATTTGTTTGTTTGTTTTTAGCCCCAGCACATTCCTATGGGGCTTGCAGTGTTTTATTTTTATTTTAGGGATTTTTTTTCTGGAATGGATTAATCGCATTCCCATGCATTCCTATGGGAAATGGTGCTTCGACTTACGACCATTTTGAGTTACGTCCATCTTCTGGAATGGATTATGGTCGTAAATTGAGGCACCACTGTAACATGATATTGTCAGAAATAGTGGGCCTCTCACCTTATACCCATACCTGCAGGTCATTTATGAACATGTCAGAGAGGGAAAAAACAATCCCAAGAGCCCCGCAGGTTCCACTCTTTGCAAAAAAAAAAAATAGACGTTGTCTTTAAATGTTTTATTTAATTCTTTTCAGCAGCTTACTCGGAATAGACATTATTTAAGAAAGTTTAGATGGAGGGTCTGTGGACCCAATTATTAATGTTTTAAAACATTTCCATTTGACAGCATGTTCTCCCACCATCATGAGCCTAAACCCTTCAGACCTCCCTTCGTAAGCATATCAGTCCAGGCTCAGGAATCTATCCAAGATCTTCTGAAGTAAAAACAGATGCCAAGGAATCATTCAGATTCTCTCCAGTCTCCTTATCCTCTTTCAAATTATACTGCTTGTATAATTCCTTCATGTAACATTCTAAGAGCCTTCCTAATTTTTTTATGCTTCTAATTTTTATACTTCTGCAGATTTGTGTTCTTTTTTATTACAGTGGTGCCCCACATGACGATAACCCAGCCCGTGAAAATCACTGTTTAGTGAAATTGTCGTCATGCGAAAACCCTTTCCCCATGGGAATGAACTGAAACCCAGTTTAATGTGTTCCAATGGAGAAAATACCTCATCGTCCAGCGAAGATCACCCATAGGGAAGCCATTTTGCAAGTGACGATCAGCTGTAAAAATGGCTGCCCTGCGAAGTATGGGTCAGGAAAACACAGGGCAGCCATTTTGCGGAGCCGAAAAAAATCATCATCTTGCAACAAATGGTTCGCAAAGCATGGACCTAACCGACGTCCAGCAAAAACCCTCCATAGGAATGACTGTTTTGTGAATCGCTATAGTGATCACAAAAAGTTATCGTTATGCGGATTTGTCATTTAGCAGGGTTGTTGTTTAGCGAGGTGCCACTGTATTCTGTTTTAGGCAAGACTTCAGTTTTCTGAAGGAAGCCTTATTTTCTCTAACTGCCTTCTTGAATGATGCTTTTTAAGCATGATGATATCTTGGAATTTGTGTTATCTCTCCTAATCTGCAATACGGATTCTACCACAGCTTGTTATTTTGGCTTCCTTCACACTCTGCATTTGAATGTATGCTTAATTAAGTAACACATCTTTAGATATATCAAAGAAAAGTCTAACACTGTAAAGTTATTCTTCAACAAATAAAAAAAGTTGTGAATCTTTCTTTTTTAAACAGTTTGGCCAAGAAGCTTGCAAGAATATTTTCTAAACTTTAAAAAAATTCCATTGGCTTCAGTGTGATATGTAACCTGCAGGCATAAACATATCTGCAAAGCACACTCACTCCTAGCAAAAAGAAAAAAGAAAAAAAGGGAACACATTGTATCTCCCTTATAAGACTCACCAATCAAATTCTCTTTTTCTTCAATAGGGAGCAGTAGTTTTTTCTGTAAGCTTAAGTTTCTTAGAGCAATTTCCAGCATTTCTAATGGAACTGCCCTGGATTCTGCAGCTTTTTCAAGCAGCTGTTTGGCCTTTTTCACATTTCCTAGTAGAAGGTAAGAGAAAAATTAGCCTTGTTTTCCCGGGGAGAGGGGGAAGGAAATCTCTAAAAACAGCACCAATTTCAAAGTTGTTAGATTATATTTCCCAAAATAACTCAGCACTCTGGCAAATTACATACTCTTTGTACATACCTTTATTCTAAAGTGAAGCTGATTTAGAGCATTAAAACGCATGTGGAACTCTTTAGGTTGCTTAAGTGAAGTATGTAATCTAGAGGGCTCAGAATCACACAAACAAATTGCAGAATTTAGTTTAACAACAAATTTAGCAGTGTGCCTAAACATTTGCAAAGCCAGGTGTTCAGACACATATAAATCCTTCAGATATTAAAAAGATTGTGCACTTTTTTTCAATTTACAACTTGTTAATTTAATGATCATGTAGGGAAAATCAATACTGAATACAAATCACAGACTTCAGCTTGCAACTTATTACAGGAATTTCAGTCAATTAAAAGCAAGACCTTAGACTGTTTTACATTCCCAATTTTAATACATATTTAAACAAAGTTCCCAGTTTCTAAAGCATCCACATTTCCAAGAATGGATAATCACCCATACCATGTAATAATTGGCTTGTGATCTTTCAACTGAAGCTTTAGTTGACTGTTCCCCCATGTCATTTACAGCTTAAGGCCTACTTTTGTACAATTATTTTGTAGAACAATTCCTTGGGTAGGAGGAAGATAAGAGTTCTGAGAATGCAGGGTGAGGGAGATATAATATTAGGCTGAATGCAAAGGAGAGTGATAAGATAGTTGTTTTAGTGCATTCACTGTTTTTGTATCATAGTTGACTGATGCAGTTAGAACAGAACACATCCAGAAAATGTCAGTTTAAGATATTCTCATCCAAAATAGAATATAAAATGCATTTGGGATACATATGTATATGAATAACTATCTGGGAATCTCACGTATTTCTCTTAATTGGGCACTGAAAGTTGCAAAAATTCTCTAAGGATTCTTAGGGTAATTACATACTACACAGATACTGTGTTTCCCCGAAAATAAGACAGGGTCTTATATTAATTTTTGCTCCAAAAACTCATTAGGGCTTATTTTCAGGGGACTTTTTTTCGTGTACAACAATCAACATTTTATTCAAATACAGTGGTGCCTCGCATAGCGACAATAATCCGTGCAGCAAAAACCGTTGCTATACGGATTCGTCGCTATGCGGAAAAAACCCATAGGAATGCATTAAAAGCTGTTTAATGCGTTCCTATGGGCAAAAAACTCACCATTATGCAAAAATCCTCCATACTGCCGCCATTTTCGCTGCCCGGTAAGTGAGAAAACCGCGCGAAAACACAGCGGGCGGCCATTTTTTTACCCGGTGGCCATTTTGGAACCGCCAATCAGCTGTTCTAAAAACATCGCTATGCGAAAATTGGTAAGCGAAACAGCTTACCGATCATCGCAAAGTGATTTTTCTCTATCTAAATCATCGCAATGTGATCGCTTTTGCGATTGCAAAAACTTAATCACTATGCAGATTCGTCGTTAAATGAAGCGCTCGTTATGCGGGCCACCACTATACAGTCATGTCATCTTCTTCTGGTTGCTGCATAATGGTGGAGGGTGGGGTTTCACTTAACTGGGGCTTATTTTGGGGGTAGGACTTATATTATGAGTTGGGGTTAGGGCTTATATTATGAGCCTCCTGAAAAATCATACTAGGGCTTATTTACAGGTTATGGCTTATTTTCAGGGAAACAGGGTAGTTGTGGCACAGTGGTTAAACCTAAAGAGCCTCATGGCGCAGTGGTTAAACCGCTGTACTGCAGCCAAAACTGTGCTCACGACCTGGGATTCAATCCCAGGTAGCCGGCTCAACGTTGACTCAGCCTTCTATCCTTCTGAGGTCGGTAAAATGAGCACCCAGCTCGCTGGGGGGGGGCAATGTGTAGCCTGCATAATTAACTTCTAAACCGCCTAGAGAGTGCTTCAAGCACTATGGGGCAGTATATTAGCAGCACGCTTTGCTTTTGCTTTATTCCTAACAAATTTCAGATGTATTTCTAAGGTCAATATCAGCATCGCATAGGGTCAGTATCCAATCATATACAGTGGTGTCCCACATAGTGACGATAATCCGTTCCAGGAAAATCGTTGCTATCCGGAATCGTCGCTATACGGAACGAAAAACCCCATAGGAACGCACTAAACCCCGTTTAATGCGTTCCTATGGCGAAAAAACTCACTGCTATGCGGAAGAGAGGAAAGGGCGCGAAAATGCTGAGGGCGGCCATTTTTTCTGGCGGCCATTTTGGAACCGCTGATCAGCTGTTTTCTAAACGCAATGCAAAAATCGGCAAGCAAAACGCTTACCGATCATCGCAATGCAATGTTTACCCATTAAAAACATCGCAATGCGGTCGCTTTTGCGTTTGCAAAATCCGCATTGCTATGTGGATTCGTCATTAAATGGGGCGCTCGCTATGTGGGGCACCACTGTACTTCTGTTAGATTCTACTATTTGTACCAGAGTCACCAACCCCTTTGCCTCATGGAATGCTTGATTCACCCTAAAAATATATCCTACAGAAGACTGGGAAAGCTCCTGAGAGCAAGTTTTTGTTACAAAGGCTTGCAACAAGAGGGAAAGGGGAAGAAGTTCCATTGATAATGGATATAGAATATTACCACTGGGTCTTGGACCTGATCACAGAATATAATAACATTCATAAATCAATGGATATGTAAAAATATTTTTGGCATTCATGTCCTATACTACTTCCACAAGGCTGCGTGGATAATTACAATCCTTTCATACTAAAATTCCCATAATCCCTCACTACTGGCTACACTAAGCTAAAGGTCATGCAAGATGCAGGGTTAAAATTTTCAGATAATTACAGTGGTGCCTCGCTAGACAGTTACCCCGTGTGACAGTTTTTTCGCTAGACATTGACTTTTTGCAATTGCTATAGCGATTCGCAAATCAGTAATTCCTATGGTGGAATTTCGCTGGACAATGTTTGGTCCCTGCTTTGCAAACCGATTTTCGCTAGACAACGATTTTGACAGCTCCCTCTGTGCTCGCAAAACGGGTGTTTTCGGGACCTAAGCTTTGCAAGACAGTTATTTAAACAAAGTGGCTTTCCTATGGCCGATCTTCGCTAGATTACGATGATTCTTCCCCATTGGAAGGCATTAAACAGGTTTCAATGCATTCCAATAGGGAAATGCTTTTCGCTAGACAATGATTTCGCTAAACAGCAATTTCAGTGGAACAGATTATCATCGTCTAGCGAGGCACCACTGTACAACAATCCAGCCCTGAGTCTATCATTCCAATAAAGGGCAGGAAACATGGTCAATCATGTAACACAATATTACATTAAAGACTGGCAAGTCACACTAAGCTTAATAGTAGGTATATTTCTACAAACCTTGTGAGAGTTCAAACTGGGCAAAAGCTATGTGGACAAAAGCAAATTTCTTGCAGTTCAACCTAGCAAGGTGGAATTGATCACGCGCTTCTTCTGGTTCTTCAATTCTGCAAAATATAGCATTGATACACACAGAGAAAAAAGATTTCCAACTTTTAAAAAAGGCAAAACAGAGGATATAAGATAAGCAACACTTTGTATTCCACAAAGGATGGGTGGCCAATAAACATCACTACAAAAATGCTTCCAATTCACTGCCTCTGTAACCTCTACCGCCACTCAAATTCAATTTATTAAACCTCATCAGCAAGGCACACCTGTAAACTGCCTTCTAGATATTGCGCACAAACATATTTAAAACAACAACTAGACTGAAAGCCATAATTTCAAGATAACCCATTCCCCTCCATGCATGAATTAAAGTTTCAAAGAATAGCAATTCTGTGTCTTATCTAAAAAGAACTGGTCATTTAGCTTCAATCTGGGGACATAGCAAGAAATATGTGTTCTGGCATGTTATCCAGAGGAGTGTTATTAAAAAGCACAGACTACTAAAAGGAAGCTGGAGTAATATGGGAGCAGAAGCTTGATAATTATGTGGGCTACTTATAAAGAAAATCAGTAAACAATTGGCTTTAGTAGTTTCTGTCACATTCCAATACTCACGCTTTCAGTTCTGCAAATCTAACCAGAATGTGGGCATAACTTTCATTCTGGCTATATTTTTCAGCAGATAATGCTGCAACTGCTTGGCTGTAACGACCAATTAATCTATTCAATAAGCTGGTGTCAGTCTGAGGAGAACCCTTTTTCTCCAATTTAAGTAAAAAACTCAACCAATCTTCAGGATTATTTGCAGTCATCATGATTTGGTTAACAGTTCCAGAGTTATCTAAGAACAAAATAAAAGCATTTTTTGTAGGTTTTAAGCCCTTAAAAGTGTATAGAGCAAGCCACAAATATCTCAGTGCAAGATTAATATCTAGCAAAGTTAATGGAGTAGGAGGCTTGAGTGTGCTGGGAAAGCTGAAAGCAATGCAGGTTAAATTCCATTATTAGTCTGGGCTGCTAGTCACTCAAGGTGGAAGAGTCAAAGCTCAGATACCAGACTAAGATGTGATGCTCTCTTCGGTATTAAAAGTAACATCAACAGAAAAGTTACCGTATTTTTCGCTCCATAAGATGCACTTTCCCGCCCCCCAAAAAGTGGGGGGACGTGTGTGCGTCTTATGGATTGAATACTGTAAAAAAAGGGTGCAGACTGCCCAGAGCCCATGCTGCTGTACTCCTCCTCTTCTGTCGACCCCCCCGCTTCAGGTTTCTCTCATCTCTCCGCTTCTCCATCACTAGGCCAGGACCTGAACATCAGAGGGGCGCCTGCCGCAGCCCTGTGCCACCACCACCAGCGGAATGCAATGTGAGGGGAAACTCGAAGTGGGGGAGCGCAACAAGCTCCTTTTCTTTCTCCTCCTCCCCTCCGTAGCTTTCCTCTCTTTTACTTGTTCGTCACTTTCTTCTCGCCTTCGCCTTGCTTTTCACTGTTCGTCTCTGCTTTCTTCTCGCCTTCGCCTTGCTTTTCACTTTGCCAGCCCTTCCTTCACTGACAGGGTGGTGGCAGCAACTCCTCTTCGCACTTCCCCCTTCCTTCCTCCCTCCTCTCTCTCTCTTTCTCTCTTCTGTTTTTCAGGATGTCCGTCAGGAACTGGCTTAGGTGGCTCTTCTGCACTCCCCAAAAAATAAGGGTGTGGAGGGGAACCAGGTAATGATAAACAAGAGCAGGGAGCCCACGATTACTACTCGGGCTATGGCTCCCATCGCCACCCAGGCCAAGGGGGAGACACTGCAGCCCAGCCCAGACAGCCAGGCGTGATTGAAGTTTTTTTTCTTCTTGTTTTCCTCCCTCTAAAATTAGGTGCATCTTATAGTCAGGTGCCTCTTATGGAGCGAAAAATACGGGTTAGTTCCAATGGTAATAAGGGAAGCTTCTGGACGGTAGCTAGTTACTAGGCGTCAGTGGCAATGGAAGGTGACTCCGACAGATGATCTTTCACAGATAATAACAGTGAAACTCAAAAGAGATACTTCTGCTAGTATTGCATAGAAGGAAATCATGGCAAAATATTTCTGAATATTTTGTACCTTGAAAAACCTATGATGAAATGATAAAAAATGAAACAAATTAAATATGAGATAATGCTAGAGGATAAGACTCCCAAATAAGAAGGCAATCAGTTAGTAAGGAACAGCAAAGTACAAGGACAAATAGCACTGTTGCTAAAGAAGCAACTAGATTAAAGCTGAACGAGCATGTAATGCTCAAGATACACAGAGACTATGTGTGCTACACAGTTGAAATATGGAATGTGAGAAGCATGAATTGATGTGAACTGGAAATCAAACAAGAAATGGAATGCTTAAATACTGCACTATTTGGTGTGAGAAAAGTAAAGTGGACAAGAATAAAATGGACATTCTCAGTCATATAATTATAGTATTTTACTCTGGAAATGATAAAATCAGAAAAAGTATTGTCTATCTAATACTGAGGCAAGATGTAGCACAAGCAATTAGGGGCTACATGCAAGGTCTGACCAAATAATACCAATCAGACTTCTTGGAAAACTTATCAACATAACCATCATTCAAGTCTGTAGCAACTACAGTATAGGTGCTAAAAAGGAAGGCAGTGAAAGCTTTTATGAAAGCGTCCAAAACGAAAATGATCACACACCAAAACAAGATGTGCTGATAAGTACTGTAGGTTGAAACCAGAGATATTATCAAGGAAGAATACATAAAAGCTATTCCCAGAGTAAGAAAATAAAATAAAATTCTAGGTTGACGGTTGAGGTTAATTATAACCTCAGCCGTCGATCTAGTAAAAAACTCAAGTACTTTTAATAATTGTTAATTATAGAAGGAATTAATGGTGATGTAAAGCAAGGTGTAAAAATGTCCCATGTCAAAAGGAGGGTTTCTGCATGCATAATCAAATATGCTCATAATCAACATACATTTTCCACTAAAATGTTAGCTAACATAAGACATTTTGCTACAAATGCACAATAAATTTATTTAAAGGACAAATGTGAATTACAATTATAATTTTTATTATGCAATTAACATTAACTTAGTTCAGAAGTTATCATTAACGACATACCTGTTGTATCAGCTGATACCTTATTAAGTTCATCTGTAATATTTTCCTCATTTTTATATTTGCTTTTTAGATTTCTAACTCTACTCATAATAGAAGCAACAAACAGTCCCTTTTCACTTAAATCTTCTTCCTGCATTTCTAGGAGGGAAAGTCAAAATTAGATACAAAAATATTTCCAGAGACATGAATGTATAGCTAGTGGGTTTGAGAAGGAAGGAGATTCTCTTAGTACCGAGATTTTCAATTACCAACCTGAAAACAGTGATGCTTAAAACCCTAGGTTATTTCAACATAGAGTTGTTTGCTTAGAAGAATTATTGTTGCTCACCATAAATATTTAGAAACATTCATCCAAAATTAATAGGATAGGCTCATTTATGTTAAAATGTTAATGTTCACATTAAATTGGAAAAATATTAAGCATCTGATAGGCAAGACCCAATAGCTGTCCTTTCTTTTACATCCGTACATTAAACAAAATCCTTTATAAATCCCCAGAGACAGCTGAGCAACTTTTTGGAGCTGTGACACAACCACTAGCAAAACAGCAAATTAACAATCCACATAAATTGCAACAGTTGTAATCTGTTAGAACCATGTAAGGCCACCCTAGAGAACTGCTGCATTTATCTCTCCTTGACCTATTCTTTAACCCCACAATAATCTGTACCTCTAGGCTAATTTTTTAAAAGTATACCAACCAGTAATTCTCAGGCTGAAAAAGTGCAGTTTTATAAAACTGTATTTATATTAATAAAGCAAAGCTATGCATTAGCTTGCTTAGAATCCTGTTGATAGCTGAGAACACTGAATTTTCCAATTAGTGTTGGTCCTATTTTACTCTCAAGAAAATTCACTTGTGATTTTCAGACACCAAGCTAGACCAAAGTTCCTTTTATCTAAGAGGTGTTCACTCTTGAGCCAGTTCTCCCAGATGGATAGCAGCCTATCTGTGCCAGAAATAGAAAAAGGGGTTGCAAAAAGTATCCTCCCTACCACTGTACTCATTTTCAGTTGTTGTTTCTATAAGTAGTACTCACAGGATATAGAACTCCACGCAGAAGTTTACTTGACACATATAATTCCAGCATCAGCTGTAAATATCACACAACATCAGACTAAAGATTTGATAGAGCCATGAAAATTTGGTGTTTGTCTTTTGGGTAACTTTTTAAGACCATAGCATTTTAGAGGAAAATATGAATTATACTGAATTAAGTTATATTTTATTGAAATTATCTACTGTTATAGGCTTGCAAATATTATTTAATCTGAGATTTTAAAAAAAAAACTCTTAATGCTTTTACTATTACTGTTAGCTGTCCCAAGCCTTTCTAACATACATGGTTGGGTATCAATTAAATAATACAAGGAAATAATTTTAAGTTCAAAAGTTAATTCAAAAGACTCTTTCATACTGTAGAATATCTGTTTCCTGCTCACCTTTGAAGCTTTCAAAACAAGAAAATACTGTATCTTTCTCTTTGAAAGGCTTTCACTATGAGAAAGTATATGCAGCATTTGAGTTTTGTATTACTGTTAACTATACTGTATATTCTTGCTCAATAAAAGGCAGTATTATATATATAGTTTTTTCCTCTTCAGATACAACTTTTTCAAAGGAATTAAATTTTCATTCAATTGTTCATTGAAGTAAATCTAGGTTATCAGAAAGATAATTTCCAAAGTGTGAGATTTTACTACAGGTTTGGATTCCAATTTAATGGCAGAGCAGCCGAAGATCTTTTCAACTTTATGAGTAAGCCAGCAAGTTTCTGCAGTAAATCCAGCAGGTAGTTGGGAATGAACTTCATTTGGGGCGTGCTTATACATTATGGGCAGGCATATCCCTAAGGATGGGTGTTCATCAGCTTTACAGTTTTATATAAAAAGGGAGTGTCTGAGGCTAGATATTGCTTCATTCACCATAACTCAACATATCCACTTTTCAACGTAACTTTAAACACCTAGGATTCATCCATTGCCTTATATATTGCAGAACTGTAACAAAATATTGAGTAACTGCTAAACCTGGCATATGAAGCTGCCTCTGTTGTAAACCAGCACCTGAGCCCATAATGCACTGGATGAAAGTGAACAGGTACACCTCTGCCTTCCTTGGCAGGCAGAGTTGCTCCTGGCCAATTAAAAGGCAGACTAGTAAATAGGGATTCAACCTGTGTGGGATGGAGTTACACTCCCCTTGAAAACTCAGGTGCACAGTTTCTGGATTCCTTTATGAGATCGTATACTCAGGTCTTGGCTGTTGTCAGCAGTGTATTTCTACAATAAAAACTAGTGCACCAGCTGCACCCATTCCTGAGAGGCCTCACTCTGCTATGGTCACACATTTTGGTTACCTCCCCATTTGGATTACTGCAACGTGCACTTGTGCACTTGGTCCTATTCAAAGTGCTAGTCATGACCTTTACAGCACAGGTCCAGACTATCTCAAAGTATCTCTCAGCATGATCCCCCACAAATATTAAGAACCTCACAGAATTGCCTTCTTAGTCCCACCACTTTCACAAGCACATCTAATGAAAATCTGAGATGTCTGCCTATAGAACAACCTACCCACTGAGATCCGCCTGACACCCTCACTGGATAGGTTTAAACAAGCACTGAAGACTTGGCTCTTCCATCAGGCTCTCCAGGAACATTAAATCTCGGCCTCCCTTTTGCCCTTTTGTCACCCTCTCTATCACCCTTTTTACCACCTTTATAGGAACATAAAATCTCAGCCTCCCTTTTGCCATTCTTTTTGGTCACCCTCTCTATCACCTTTTTTACCACCTTTATTGCTGTCTGTTTTAATTTATTTTTATTGTGTTTTAATATTGTTGTTTATACTGTTGTTAGCTGCCCAGAGTGGCCTGGTTGCTAGATGGTGTGGGGCACAAATTCAATAAATAATATAAATTATACAGCCTTTTCTGTGGCTGCTCTAAGACTAACTTCCTTGTGAAGCACAGCTAGCTTCTTCCCCTCTTTCTTCCACTGGCAACTGAAAACATATCTCTTTAAAGGCTTTTGAGGAGTCAGCGGGTAACTAAGATGGGGAGACCTTTTAAATTTCAATTTAACACATTTTTAAAAATTGAAATTCAGGCAGTATTACTTCACCAAGATTCAAAATTGTTGATTAATTAGAATGGATGATCATGAATGCTGTAAGGCAGACTGCATTTAAATTGCTTTCTAAAATGTTCCTCTTTATCAGATTTTTTTGTAAATCAGTTCTGAATAAAAGTTTTTTAACCATTGTTTTAAAAATTCTACTTACCTTTTCCAGTCTTTATTTCTTCCTTTAGAAACCAAGAAGTGAAAGGAAACACAAGAAATTCAGGATGCAGTCTGAAGGCACATAATAGCGCAATCTCCTTGAAGCTTTCACAGTCTGGTCAGTGCCTTGATCAGATGGCGACTACGACTTCTGTGCTTACCACCTTGAATTCTTCTAGAATGCTAGGAAAGTATATAATATAAATGATCAAGTAAGATATTTTCCCTAACCATATATATATTAGGATTTAGCAAATACAGAAAGATAGCATATCTATAGCAAAGTCTAGTATATAATGTCCCTTAATGAACCATGGGAAGACAGCCATTGTCTGAGAAGTGTTGTGAAACATGCCTTCCCTACCTTTAGCAAAGGTGTGATAAAACAATGAGATACTCAGGCTTCTTCCTGAAGGAATATCAAAGGATATCCTTGAAGGAAATCCTAAGAAAGGAAGTCCAAAGGAACATCTATTTAAACAGGGAACCTACCAATTTAAATCCTGAAGGAAATCCTAAGAAAGGAAGTTCAAAGGAACATCTACCAAAGTTCAAAGGGAACCTACCAATTTAAATTACTCATTTAATGCTCTTTGTGTTTTTCCTATACACCTATGGTGTATCTTTGGTTCTACATCTTTGGTTCTGTAGACTGTCTTTACAGGTATCGCTCTTGTGTCTATGGTTGTCTACTGGCCAGTAGTACACTTCATTACAAATTCTTAAGAGGAAAAGTTCTCCACACTAGAACTTCACAATACAGAATTATCAATCAGAGTCACAAGTTACCAGGAGTTATGGAATGTACCAATTATTCTCTAGTTTGGTAGTTCTTAAACTAGAAGCCAGTCTATGAACTGTGGAAACAGTGTCCAGACACTGTCAGCCTTCTGAGAGGGCAGGGCATAATTGGACTACTTGATTTCCTAGCAAGGAATTCACTCAAAATGTACACTTTTCCATCAACATAATCATCTGTGGATATTTAATTCTTTATGCTGTTTATGTTTTTACTGAATAAAGTTTCAGAGCCTGCTTTAAATGTCAGTGTTTGATTAGCTTGACTCCCCAACTGTATGTCCTTTATTCATCAACAACCTCTATATACTGAATTTTGTGGCAGGATCTCTACATGCTCCTCCATGAAATGAATGCCAGTCCACACACACTGGACAGAGAAAGCCAAAGATGACACGGCAATTCAAAGAAATATCAGAAAATGATTTTGAGCTTAAGAATATGAATAAACCACTAGATAACACTGTGAATGGATTGTGCTTTCTGAAATGAAAACACATCCTCCGGTTGTAGTTAGAGGAGACAGAAGCCACAGCTTTAGAGAGCTTTGTAAAAACCTCTTGCATAAATAAAAGTTATATGTTTGTTGGGAAAGCAGAGTCTGATTATATAAGATTACAATGCCAGCCCTAAAATACTTTGAATAGTTATTAAGAGAACACCGACTGTCCAAAATATGACACTTGAAATTCAGCACAGATCAAACTATTTTAGCTATCTCATAAGCAGCAGGGAGGTTAAGGCACTGTTTCATTTTCTTCAGTGTTCACTATCAAAAAATTTCAAAGAATAAACTACCATGATACACTGCAACAAATCAATTGTAATAAAAATGTGTAGTAAAATTGTGATTAAAATATGTGGTAATTATTTTTAAAAGATACTTACATTAAGCCTATCAAATAAAATATTAAGCTAGATCTATACAACCTGCAGGGACGTGGTGGCACTGCAGGTTAAACCGCAGAAGCCTCTGTGCTGCAAGGTCAGAAGACATGCAGTCGTAAGATCGAATCCACGCGACGCAGTGAGCTCCCGTCGCTTGTCCCAGCTCCCACCAACCTAGCAGTTCAAAAGCATGCAAAATGCGAGTAGATAAATAGGTACCACTATGGTGGCAAGGTAAACGGCGTTCCGTGTCTAGACATGCTGGCCACGTGACCATGGAAGATTGTCTTTGGACAAAACGCTAGCTCTATGGGTTGGAAACGGAGATGAGCACCGCCCCCTAGAGTCAGCCACGACTGGACCTTTTACCTATACAACCTGCAATCCTCTAACCTAAATGCAGCCCAATGGCTTTGTGAGGTTGCTTAGGAAGGGACTAACAATCACTACTGTTTTTTATAACAGCAGGTGAGATGCTACAAAGTTCCTCTTCATCCATACATCTGTATTAGATACAGAAGTCAAGAACTATATGCACACCTGCCGATAGATCAAAGATAAAAAATAATTCATTTTAAGCTCTGGGATTTGCCAAATGCTTTTGTTGACAGGTACTGTAGTTTTAAAACTGTGGAAGAACTTAAAATGTTAGAAAGGTCTATGTTCTGCCTGGGGGGGGCATAATAACCTTACACAATACTATGAAGAGTATCTCATCTACTAAATGAAAATGAAACAACTGACAGTGGTAATTGGAAACTCCTGTATTCACTACCCAGCAGTGATGCAAATGTATCCATGGAGCACAAAATCCTCAGCGGTTTATCTTAAATAAACCTAAACATAAGAGCAAGATTATATAAACCGAGCTAGCTACAGGCTACCCTTAATAAACAGGGATTTCCCACACTCTCGCATAAGAATTAGGAAATACAATTATAGTAACACCTAGACTCAATGCCCCAGATCTCACTCAATGGGGGCAAAGGGAAGGTTCTATTCCTTGTTATTGCAATGCAAAAACAACTGTACAGCTTCTCCCACAGGCAATCAAGCATTTTGCTCAGTTTGTTCCACTGATTAAACTGGATAGCTTCTTCAACCTTAACCACTCCCTCATCTTTAAAGCAAATCAAGCAGCTTTGACAAATAGAGACTTGCAAGTGGTTTGGAAGGAAATGTGATCTGAATTGGCATGTTTCCCGATGATGCCATGTTAGGATGCAGCAACAAAAACATATATTGCAGCATAAACATGCATGGACTAAAGCCTAGTTTGACTGGTATTTCCCTCAGCTGACAGGTTTATCAGTTTACAGCGAAGGTGTTTATCAGTTTACAGCTTTAAAAAAAGTAAAGAGAAAAGCCACAAAATGTAAATAGTAAAGTCAGTGACATTTGCTCTGCACTGTCCTCAAGACTTCTTTTCAACCGCAATAATTAAAGACATACTTCCACCATATTAAAATTTGCAATCTCATCAATACTGCACAAAGCAGAATTCACTATCATTCCTTTTTTGATATTGCAACTATCAGACTTTTTTCTGCCATCACATCAAGAGCAAGATCATCATGATACATCTTGGTTTGCAATGATCCCAGCCATGCAGAATGTGAGGAGTTTTAAAAAAACTCTGCCATCACAGCCAATGTTACCAATAGATGACAAGTTTATCATTAACCAGCTGGACTGCATACAAGAGATGGAAATGTAAAGGTACAACATGGCATTTTACAGGCATAGTTTTAACTGTGCAAATGCATTGCTGGCCACCATCGACACCTGGGCATCCAAGCTTAGGGATGAATCCACGCTGCAGACCTGAGTTTTCAGGGAGAGTGCAACCCCATCCAGCATCCCTAGATAGTAGTATGCCTATTCCCTCATCTGAATTCCAACTTGCAAGGAGCACCTCTGTCTTGTCTGGATTAAGTTTCAGTTTGTTTGCCCTCATCCAACCCATTACTGATGTCAAGCACTGGTTTAGAGTCAAGACAGCTTCCCTGGAATTAGGTGGAAAGGACAGATAAAGAGTTGAGTGTCATCTGCATACTGATGACACCGAACCTCAAAACTCCCAGCGGTTTCATGTAGATGTTAACAAGCACAGGTGACAAATGAGAACCCTAAGGAATGCCACGGGCCAATGGCCAGGGCATTAATGTTGTAAGCCGCCCAGAGAACTTTGAGTAGTGTGGGTGGCATATAAGTTAAACAAACAAACAAACAAACAAACAGGAGTTGCCCAGCACCATCTTCTGAGTTCTCCCCTTCAGGAAGGACTAGAGCCACTGTAAAACAGTGCCTCCGAGTTCCATCCCAGAGAGGCGGCCCAGAAGGATACCATGGTCAGCGGTATCAAAAGCTGCTGAGAGGTCCAGCAGAACCAACAGGGGCACACTTCCCCTGTCCAGTTCCTGGCGTAGATCATCCACCAAGGTGACCAAAGCTGTCTCTGTCCCATAGCCAGGCCTGAAACCAGACTGAAATGGGGAGACATAGTTCAAAAAACATACAAACCTCCAAACAGAGGGTTGTCCACAACCTGCAGAACAACCATAAACAGAAAAGGGACTGCGCTCACAATGTCTGATTATATCAATGATGATTTCCCAATTTAAAATAACAAAAGGAGAGTTGGGATTACCTTTGGTGCCGATAGTCATTACGTCTGGGGGAAAGAGTGTTTTATTGATTTGGATCCCATGGCAAGAGGGGATTTAAGATTGACTGATGAAAAATTATTGAGAGGGAGAGTCAATATGCTTAGTCACTTAATGGATGAAGAAAATGAAAATGAGGACTATGGAGAAGAATGAACTTTTCCAGATGTAAAATATATGGTTTGTTTCAAATAAAATCTTATTTATGTTGAAAGTTGCATGCACAAAGGACCAATATTTATCACTGAAATAAATAATTGCCTTGCTTTTGGATGTGAAGCCAATTAGTTAATATATGCAAAGTTGTTGCCCAATTATATGTCAAAAGTAGTCCTTGCCAGTCAAGAATATAAACAAAATGTGGTTTTGAACACAAATGAAACTTTTTGCTCAAGTATTTCATAGGAGACTTGGACATAAATCAAAGGACACTAATGAAAATTAAAAATAAAGATCATGCAAGAGGGATTAAAACAAAGCCTTGCAGAAATGAACAAGACACACTTATCATCGTAGGTAACTGGAATGCTCTATGCTTTACGACTACAGCAAAGGCTTTGATTGTGTGTAGATCATGAGAAACTATGTGTTGTTTTGAAGGAAATGGGTGTGCCTCAGCACTTAATTGTCCTTATGCATAACCTGTATTGTGGATAAAAAGCTACTGTCAGGACACAATATAGAGACAGAATGGTTTCCTATAGGCAAAGGTGTCAGACAGGGGCACAATTTATTCTTATCTGTTCAGTCTGTATGCAGAACATATCCTACAGAAAGCCAAACTAGACGCCAGTGAAGGACGGGTGAAAACTGGAGGAAGAAACAT